ACTAACAATAGACTGCCAAGGTCCCGACTAGTATTTCATTTAAATTGTACTAGTATTTTACAGAAAAAATAGTTGCAGAAAGAGAAGTAAACAGAAAAAGGACCAAAGTGATGTAATAATACCTAAACAACAAAGACAATTCGGTTTATCCGAACCTCAAAAAGGGAACTATGATTATGCATCTCGAAGCTTATCTTATCTCTTTAAGTTTTTWAAAAATATTTACAAAAGTGTTATAGTTCAAACTTAATTAGACTTTATTAATTGATGTCAAACCTCTTATGCAATTTGTATCTACCTGCTGAACAATATATATTACAGCTTATACCTATCTCACAAACAAATATCATTACTATTTTATTTAATAATTATTCAATCATTATTCCAAATTACATAAATCTGGTATACCAACAATATAATTGACAAAAATAAATAAATTATAATTGGTATTAAACCAACAAAAAAAAAACATTTACAACTGGAGCTTGGTATAAAAGCTGGTAGAGAAGTAATATGTTTCTGACATATAAATATTTGAAATGACCAATCACGAAATAGAATCACATTTCTACGTTTAGTTATTTTGTTCATCTAATAAATAAATAGAATCACACTCCAAAATTAAATATATTAGAATAGATGCGCGATTTTTTCTTATATAATTTTGTTAAATATAGTGATGAAAAGTTTAATTACTCTAGTAATTTTATACTCTTTTTCTGGTCAAAGATGATAAATTTCATTAAACCGGAGGAAAGACTAAATCGGTAAAAGTCGGTTCACAATACAAACCCACTTTAGTTAGGCTATCGACCATAAGTTCTTATCTTTGGGAATAATCACAAAAGATGAGATATTGAGATCTACATATAGAGTTTAGTAATGTCATGTTTCATACCATAGACATCAAGGTGAGAGCTTCGTGAGTTGAAAAAATGTATTATACTTATAATTGGCAAATCAACCAATTTTCTTTAGATATAAAATATTTGATTTGAATTGAAATAAAATTATTTTTTTGTCTTATTTGTATTGTATGAAAATATGTAGTGATTTTCAATCATTTCAATGTTGATAGTTCCTATTTAAAAATAAATATATTTGTATGAGACTTT